TGATTGTTTAAAGAAATAACTGGAGATAGACTTGCCTAGGCATTTGGATTTTTGTGGACTCTTTATTAAGATATCGAAATAATACATGTTAACCACAAAAGAGCAGAGTACTACTTTCTTGAAATGCACATGGTATTATGAACAAAGGAATGCATTAATTTTTCAAGTTTTATAATGAGTAATTACCTCATAAGTTGATGCAGAGAGTGAAATTATTGTAAGTTATACGTCTGTTCACACTGTAGAGTATTTTGCATATATTGACTTTACTGAAAAAGTTTTATTTCCAAAGTGGTGCTAAATGCCTGGTGCATGTGTTGGTATCAAGCAGTTACTCTCATTGTCTTCTCATACATGCAAATACTTTGCTAAATATAAATCTACGGGTGTCACAGGTGCATATGTTTCTGAAGTGGTTAGAACAGAGGAGGGTGCTGGAAAGTTTGAGTTCTTTCAAATCTTAATTCAAAACAGGAGGTTTTCATCTATGTCCTCTGTAAAAAAACAGAAAACAACACTTTTAGAAAGTAGCCAGAGCAGTAGCATAAACAATGCTGGGGTATCAGAGAAACCATCTAATAAGGCGGTACGTGTATGTTGGTGACTTCAACCTTGGAAGGGTATCAACAGCGCTCATGAACTTTTACAAATATGTAGACTTAGGGGTGGTCCAATGGGATGCGCATTTAGAAAACTGTGCAAGTAATTCAGATGTGGGGTTGGGGACCACGAGTGGGGGCCCCAGCCAATAAGTGCCAAGTGTGCTAATCTATAAGGTGTAACACAGCAAAATGTAGTAGAGATAAATAGAAGTGTAGTGCCAATTAGATCGAGTTTTCAACTGAGGAGCTTGTAAAAGAACTCATTGGTACACCTTTGGCAGAAGATGGCATCCTCTAGCAGAGAGAAGACCACTCCTTGCCACTGCGCGCCCCCTTCAATCATTGTTGAACAAATGTTTGCAGCAGATTAATTTGAAGCATACTAAACTACTATCCTGTAATAGCACCAGGTAATTTTCCTGCCCAAATTGTCTTAGCCATAGACAGTGGGAGAGATTATGGACTTTGTCACATTTCTTTTGAGTACTGGCTTCATTTGTAAAGTGGAGATAATAATGTAATTGCTTATAAATTTACTTCTATTTGGACGTATACGCTTCATCTTCTGCTGTTCAAATGAGAGATGTTCTTTTTGTTGACCTTATTGCTAAGGATAAGTGACACGTCCTTATTCACATAGTTAATGCCGGAGTTGGAATATTTGAGCAGGTTTAGTTCAGATCACAGGCAGTTAAAATTTGGGGAAAGACTGGCTACAATTTATCTTCTCATTCTGTGAATTTCTCAACCCTGAGGGAAAGAAGGGTAACTTACAAATAGAGATGTTTTGTCTTGTTTTCCCTAGCTACATCTCAAAGTAGTAACTTGTTTACTTGTGCTGACCTAATGTTTAATATCTGCCTCATTGGTTTATTATGTGATAATTTTTTCCTTTCTTCCAAATAACATAATGACGGGCCAAACCACAGTGCACAAACAAGATCATTAGGAGTTTTGAAAATGACTGGACATTAAGCCCTTCCTGCTCCTCCCAGACAACTGCCCAGCACAGCTGAGTGAGCTCACACGCTGAAGAGTTGCCACAATTTCACAAAAAGAAGAGTCAAGTGCAATTGGTTTTCTTAAATAAATGGCCTCTGTTCAAATTTGCCTTTTTATTTGTTCTTTAAAATCACATGTCAAACAAAAGAACGTGCTTAAATATTGCTAGTCCAGCTGGTTTTTTTTCCCTTTTTGATAATGGTGATGCAGGGAGGGTTGGGGAGGGGCAACTATACTTGTGTCTGTTTGGTTTTTTTAGTATGGGAATTGGGAAAAACAGTGTAAGCCATTTTAGGGATATCTTTGAATTTTATAA